CACACACACATATAAAAAGCCAGTTCAGACTGAACAACAACGTTTTCAGTGAGTGAAAGCAGTAAAGATCTTAAGGTAAGGTTTTTATTGATGTGGAGTTGGTTTAAAACTGCTTCATGGCTGTCGGGTCAGGCTCTGGGGAGGACTCAGCAAGGGAGCAGGACGTGAGGGACATCTCAAACCCTACAGGAGCAAATCCTCCTCCGACAGCTTCTCCTTCAGCTTGGTGTCTCGCAGACCCTCCAGGAAGACAGGCAGCTTCGCCTCGGAGAAGCTGTCACTGTCACCAAGCCCTGACCCAGAGGCTGGCTCTGCTCCCACCATAGTATTGGACCCAGAGCCAGAATCCTCATCGGAGAGAGGAAATATGTCACCCAGCTCCTGGTATCGCCTCATCCTGAAATGCAGAGAGGCATTTTTACATTATACATGAACATACCAAAGCCTCACAGTACCGTGGGCGAGCCACGCTGTAACAGGACTGTCAAAACAGGAATAATGGGCGGGTTTGGGTGCTGGCTTTAATGACAAATGTGTGTCAAATGAACTTACAGGGACGGGTCTGCCATGGGAGGAAGGATCCTGTTGGCTCCACCAGTGGGCAGGTAAAACCAGGGCCCCTTCTCCTCGATGCAGTTGGCAGACCACGCGTCAGGGCGGCATCTCACCCTCTTGTACCTTGCCCTCTGCATCGGAGCACCTGATGGAATCAGCCACGCGTTACTCACCAGGACCAGGGTGTTATTCACCAGCTCCTACTAACTTTACGAGCAACTAATTTGTGTGGCCCTGATTGCTCAACCACAGGAAACTGAAGTAACCCTGAAGACTTTTCTTAAAATGGCTACTGATATCCTAAGTGACATCTTTGCTATCAGAGACATCACGCTCATCTCACACACAGCACCAGGAAGTGCGTGAAAAATCCTGTGGGAAACCACTGCCGTCACAGCAAGGCTCATGGGACACGGCACAGGGACCTGTGGTCTTGGCTGCCTGCAGCTCTCCTTGAAGCTGGTGGAGGTATGTGAAAATAATGTGAAAATCTCCAGGGACACAGCACCCAGCAGAGAGCTGAGTCTCCCTTCCTCTGTTGGCTCCAGCTCTGCCCCTTCGAGTTCAATGGGCTGAGTTTTGGTGGAGAGGTCAGAAACTCGAGGTGTGCCTCAGGAGCAGATTTGGGGTTTATGTAAGGTCTCAGAGCACGTTTCCAGAGGAGAGACAGTTTGGGTTCCTCCTAGACACGACAGGGTTTTGTAAACCAACCATTTTAGCTCTGGTGCTCCCCAGGTACCTAATTCGGGCTGTCAATGGTCTTCAAAAAATACCAAAAAGCTAAAATAAGGATCATACAGTAAAGATAAAAGCAGTGGCATTTTGTCCTTCCCCTCAGTCTCATTAATTAATTTTCCCTGAAGCCTCCTGGTGCATTCTCCACCTGTTGGCACTTTATCTATTTTTTTCTCAGTTTCTGTAACACTGTCGTTTCTCGGTAATTACACTTTTCTACTGCCCTATATATTTCTATAATGTCCTGCATGACTTTCAGCTATCTCCTACACTGTTCTGTAAGAGAAAAAATATTTCACAGGTGTAATTTCCTGCTGCTTTTACAGCGTGCTCCTTTTTCATACTTATTTTCTCCTCCCAGCATATTATTAAGGAGGTTTTTTATAATAACAGTGGCAACAAAATGAACAGCTGCAGCTAAAAAATTTGCAAATAAACAACTAAAGAAAAGCAGGCCATAGTCCCTCAAAGATCAGCCTCCAAGTAGTAATACATGATGAGAGCCTATCACTGTCGCAGCCTTTGTTTATGGACAAATTATACTCTGCATGCTTGAAAAGCATTCTCTCTCACGAGAAATAAATCCACAGGGCACATATCATCATAAATCAACATTTCCTTTTCGTAGTTTTAGTGCTGTGTGTTGTAATGTTGTACCAAGTAAACCGTTTAGTTTCGTCATACTTACAACTAACTTCCTTTCCCGCTCCCCCCAGAAAGCAGAGTTATGACATGGGAACTGTTACATACTTTGTCTGTAACTACATGACTGAGTAACAGCAGCAATTATGAAAGGGACGTTCAGAGAAATGCATATTGAAATATATAGACTGAAAATATACACACATCCAACAACATATTTTATCAAGTCTTTTCTCGTAAGGGCTGGGACATTGAAATGCTCCACTTGCAAAAAGCACCTTTTCTTACCGTTCTCCCTCCAGAAAATTAAATGTTAGCAAAACAGATTTTCTGAGTAGATCTCATTACCCCAAAAAGAAGGCCAGTTTGAAAAATTCAGAGGCTGCCTGCTTGGCCTACACCGCATAGCCCAGAAAGAGGATTACAGAGAGAACAACCGCCCCTTTTTACCTTGTGCTGTGTATCCCACAAAGAGGATTAAACAAACAGCCAGGAAAATCCTCCCGTTACATCTGATAAGGAGCTGCATTTTGGCTGGCATCCCTCTGCTCACAACCAGCCTTCGCCACTGCTTCACACTTCAGAAATACGGCAGAGCGAGGAGATCGACTTTGAGAAAAGGTTTCCAAAACCCCAAACCCAACCCATAACCTGCGTCACCACTTCCTGACTGACGAGAGTGAGACATGTACAGAAAAGCCCAGCACTCTGGCCTCCCAGCCTTCATCACTCCAAACGAAAAATCCCCCCTGCCCTCATCCCCAGCTGTGCCCGAGGAGAAAAGCAGAGCCGGGACCCACCGGCTGGACTGAAGGCACTGCTGCCGGCAGCGTGTGGTCCAGTGCATCCCACTCAGAGGGCTCCAGGGCATTTACTGTTTCCTCCAGAGAGAAAAAGCAGTGCTTCATGTTCCCTAATTTTCAGTCAACTGCATTTTTGCATTGGCACTGGCAGTGCTTTTCCCTGCCTCAAGCCCATGCCAGCCCACCAGGAAGGTTAGGAGGGAGCTACTTGCAGTCAGCGCGTGTTTCACCGACTGGGGAATCATCTTTTTCCACAAGAGTAAATTATCTCTGGAGTCTCATGACAATTTTGGGTTTGTTTTTATTTGAAAACAGGATTTACATATTCACAGTAGAAGTGAGAAAAATGCATTAAAGCTAGAGAATATATTCTGGTAGAGGTGTGTCAGCTCCTTTCTGGAAGGGCGTAGTTGATTTGCTTGGCTGAATCATCATCTTGTGGCATGAGCACTCCGTGGAGCATGACAAAAGGTTTGGACCACATGTGGCTCCACAAGGAACCTGTCTGGAGAGCCCTGGAAGCCCTTTTATAGATAGAGAAATGGAAGCTGCTTCTCACCTGGCTCGACCCTTTTGCTTGCTTTCTGGTTGTGATTAATCCAGGCTTGAGTTCGCTTAAGAATAAATTACAAACAACAACGTTATCAAAGCACTGGGGGTCTTCTCAGTCTGCTGGATTCACTGGGGCATAGGCATGTGGGCCTGACATGCTGCAGCACTTTCAGTGTAAGTTGTCTGTGGTAAATCTGTTTTTACGTAGCAGAAAGTCCACCAAGGCCCCTGGTGGGGATCTGGGCTGAGTGGTGACTTTCCCCAGAGCATGGCCTTCTACCAAAACCCCATGAAGTGGCAGGAGAGACCCCTCCAGCAGCTCCCTCCCCGTTCTGCACTGGGATTTGCCACCAGACTAAGGGATTGAGTTGCACATTCAGCCTCAGTGCAATTTATTATGAGCCTCTGCACACGGGGTTTTTTCTGGCACGGGAAAAATAAGAAACTCAGACCAAGCAAGTGGGGAAGGACTCACATGCAGTGGTTACTCTCACCAGACTCATTGCTACTTTGTATTTTTAGCATCAACTCTTTTCTTTTCTTTTTGTTCGAGGCGGTGCTCAGCACCAATAGGAAGCTGGGCAAACCCGTGGGGGAGGTGATCAGCCTCCACCTGCTGAGGGCTGCGGAAACTGTCCCTGCAAAAACACCTCTCATTTTCCACTGGTCACGGGTACACGCTGGCCTGTTCCACACCCCTGCAGCGTGCACAAACAACACCCCATGTGGGACAGCACCCCTCTGCTGGCTGCTTTTACCCTTCCCACCACCCCAAGACATTTTCCACCGTTTGCACTGGAAGCCCCACGGGATGCAGCCAGAGCAATGCCCACCATGGGCATGGCCGTGGGTGGCTGGGGATCCTGCAGGAGCCAAGGGAGCTGCAAAACCCCTGTATCTGGAGGGGGATCTCACAGAGCTGAGTTATCTGTCTTGTACCATCAGCTGATGGGGGAACTTTTAGCACTGGCAGTTTTGCCACACAGTTTTGTTATTTTCTTTTGTGTCAGCAGCATGCACCAGGAAATGAGATCACTTTACATTTGGCAACTATGGGAAGACCAAAGCAAATTTTCACTCTCATCCCACGTACACCTGAGTAAGGGGGGCCTGAAGCCTCTGGGGAGGGTCAGCCTGTGCCCATCTCCCATCCTGCTGTGCTCCACTGATGCCTGCACTCCGCTGTGCTTGGCTTCCTATGAACATGGAAGTGATTGGAGACCTGGATATGAAACAGTCTGGGATGTGCAAGTCTTAAAAGTGCCCTTTGTGGAGTGTCATGGGATGCCCGAGGAACACAATCTGTAAGCCACTCAGGACATAAAATGCAAATAATCAGCTCAAATAAAAAAATCTCTACTTGGGCTAAAGGCCACAAACTGCGGGAAGTTAACACACTTTTTTTAAACAGAGACCGGCACATGAGCTACACTATATTGGAACATTAACCTTGAAACGTGCCATGGCATAGCTATGAGAGTTTAAGAGAAACAGGATTTTAAGTCAAATATTTTAAATCCACAGAGGAGAGGACAGTCACCATACCTAGGTCAGCTACCGCAAATCTACCCTCCATAAACTGCAAGGAAGGTTCACAGGATAATACTCCTGTGTATATAGACCAGATTATTAAATACCCCAGCACAATAGGTCTATAAAAAAGAAGAGGATAAATGAGGAGCAGGTATTTGAGAACACAGTTTGCTCCTGGTGCCTTGCTTACAGCTACGGCACTGAAGTGCTGCTGTTATTTTCAAATCACATGCAAAGCAAATTTCTTAATCTGCAAAGCTCTTGCTTTGCATTTTTCTAAGGCATTAATTTGGGGAGTGGGAGCAGGTGGAGGGAGGGAGCTGGCCTGGCACTGTGCACCCAGCCCCTTGACCAGACACCCAGGACTTTTCATTACATACCTGAAAAATCTGGGAGCAGACCCTAAGCTATAACAAACACTTCAAAAGCTAAAGTGATGAACTGCTCCTTAGCTGTAATTCTCAGGGCTGTTTTATCTCCCAACTGGCTTCAGGAGTAGAGACTGATTTAGTATCACTAAACGTGGACCACACTGCAGGAGTGCCTGGTATGAGGACATCCATTCTGCTGATGAGGGCAGGGAATGTAGGGCAAAAGAAAATCCCAGCAGTAACCCAGAGGGGCATCACGGGGGGTTTCAGCCAATTCTTTGGACACAGCCCCTGCTCTGCTCTCGCCCAGGTAAACGCTGGGGGAGCAGCTCAGTCCGGAGGAGTGGTCTGACGCAGCCGTGTCAGGCTGCTCTCTCCACTGCCTTTCCTCCCCAGGCAGCACAGGTTTACTTGGCAGTTTGTATCTCCACCCAGCGTCCAGATGGACAGATAGGCTCCCGTGGGTGCAGGGGCACCCACAATCCTGGTGCTAATCAGCGAGGCTTGCTGGCAAGGCACTATCAGTCCAGGCGGGGGGGTCCTGATAAGGAAGTTTCTCATTCATAGCTGCTGAGAAATCAGATCAACCCTAACTGCTCTGGGGTCATTCTGCTCCCAGGGGTCAGGTTTTCCCCTGCCCTACCTGATGGGAGCTCAGTCCTGGCTTCTGTGGGAATCCAAGCTGACCCCTGCACCCCTCAAACACAATCCCCCAGTGGAGCAGCAAAGCCGGCAGATGGCTGGAGCAGCCAGGGCTCCTGCGGTGCTGGGCCCTGCCTGTGATGCTCAGCTCTTTATCTGCTCCACTGAGAAAGTGGAAATATTTATTTTGCACAGGTCACAGATCCGGGGAGCAGCTGGTACATCTGTTACAGGCAGAGCTGGAAACGGGAGTCAAGATGGCAACAGAAAAAAGAATACAGGTCAGACAGCACAGGGAGAGCATCTGAGTGGCAGCTGGGTTCAACACAAGGAGCATTTGTTTTGCCCATATTGTCCTTTGGGAGGGCAGAACAGGTTTCTTCCCTGACACTCACTGATGAGGTGGGGTGAGATTGGTGAGACCTGGACATCCAGTGGGCCCTGAGCACATTGATCCATCTCAGGAAGAACCCATGAGCTGTCCTGTTAAATGACCCAAAGTCACCCTAATGCCCCTCAGAAGTGAGCTCCCTCCAGGCAGGCAGTCCAGCTAGATTTAAGGATGCTTTCTGCCACCAGCTCATATTCAACCAACCAACCTTAGGTGACTGAATGTAAAAATACATCCTGCCTCAAAACAGCAAAGAGCTGGCAACCCAGGGAGGGAGGTTTGGGTCCACCTAAGGGGATTTCTAAATCCAGCCCTGAGTAAAGCTTAATTCTTAACCTGGATCACATCTGAGCTCAGCACTTGACCCCTGTGTTCACCCTGCACCCAGAGCATCACGGCCCATCAGCACCGGCAGGACGTGGCACCCCCGGGCTCTCGTGCCACTGCCTCTCGCCTCCGAGGGCACTATCGGGACCTGGCCCAGGGAGATAAGATTCAGATCTTGTAAGAAAGCGCCAACGCTCATCACTTGCTGCCATCTAGATCACACAGAAGAGCAACTCCTTGTTTCTTCCCATGACTAAGGTCAACAAGTCCACCGGGAGAGATTTGTGCTGGAAAGCCACAGCTGCATCAAGATCCGACGCAGCCGCCGACTGACAGGAAGTTGCCAACAGCGTTTCCCCATCAGTGGTGTCCTTCTCTGCCAGAAACATTAACCAAGCAATGTGCCTGTCCTTCAGGTGGAGAAGAGCAGCTTTCCTTGGTGCTGGGAGGTGTGATGCTTTCTGCTTCCTCATCTGAAGCTCAGTGCAGCAGGAGGTTTTGGCTGGCAAATCAGGACTATGGTTTAAAAGTGACAACTTGTTAAGACATGACACAGCAGCCAAGCTCTGGTTCCCAATTAGGGAGGCAATTCCTGCAGCTGTCTGTCCTTCTTTAAAACTTCATCCCAGAGCAGCACCAGCCCAACAGTGCAAGCAGGACCTGCACAGAGGAGTGAGGGGGCAGGGAGACCCCTTCATGCAGCAGCTTGTTGGAAAAACACCCCTAAAACCCACAAGGAATGATCAAGGGAGAGAGGGATGGTGGGACAAAGATGTTTTCAAAGCAAAGCTGGTGCCCTGTTCCTTTTCTTTTACCCCATGCGTTTCGCCCACGGATCTCAGAGTAACTCTCTGACACAAGCATTTTTACTCCTTTTACGGTATCCAGTGACTAACACCAGCTCACTCCATCACACGCCCATCCCAATTTTTCACTAATTCCTCTTTGTTTCAGCAGAAAATTGCATTAAAACCTTCAAACAGTGAAATCCTTACATCCCGGTCTGATGCCAACTAAGTCTCTTTTACAGCAACAATGAGCATGTAAAAAGACTTCATGTATTTTTTGTGTACCAGATGT